TGTCTGTATGTAAAGCTGAACAGGGGTTTGCCCACTCATGGACCACTTAAGGCTTATTTAAAAAAAAAATTAATCCTGGCCTCTGCCAAACCACGCTGCTGCCTTCCTTGAACCCAGCCTGTTGCTGTTTGCTGTTTTTAAAAGCCAGGAGAAGTCAAGAGACAGCTTTTAAAGCATCTCAGGGCTTTTTTATTTGTTTTGGTTTTTTTTTCTCCCTCACACAATCATGAATCTGTTTGCTTTTCAATGCCACCAAGGAGTGAGATGTTTGGTGTTCAAAAAGCTGAACCTCTGATGGTTCTATTTACTGGTGAGTGAGAGCTTGGAGGTCCTGTTTGTTTGCAGAGAGGTGAAACTACTCAGGCAGCTCCATCACCAGGAGAACTTGTTCATCCTCTCTAATGATGCTTCATAGAAATAATTTGTATTAAGCAAGCCCTGGTAATGGGAGCATAATGACCCCTCTTGGCTCTTGTTTAAATTCTTTCACTTCTCAACACTAATATTAATCACAAGCAGATGGTGCAGAACATTATTTATGCACACTCGTTTCCCAAACCCAAAAAAATATTTAACCCATTAACTGGAGTGGGTGATGAGACCAAAGGGCTGATTTGCTGCTGAGCTGATTGTCCTCCCTGCTCGCAGCAGCAGATATTTAGTGCAGGGCTGTCACTTCCTCTCCTTTTCTGAGGAAATGAGCACAGCCACTGGGATGTGCAGCAGATATTGGAGTCAATTCCCTGATTTTTGTGGTGTTTGGTTCTGCTGGATTTGCTTGGATTTGCTCCTGCAGGGTTTGTGTGGCTGCCCCTTGCAGTCCCCAACCTCCCCTGCCCATCCTTAAGGGGCCAATTTCCCTCCTCTTTCTTCCTTTTAGGATTTCCAGCTTTATGGCAGGATTTCAGGATCCTTTTTGTTCTTTTTGCTAAAAGCAGAGCTGGTTGGGCTCAGTTTTCCCCTAAAAGTTGGGAGCACCTGGACATCCTGGAATACCAAAATTCCCTGTGTGCTCCTGGGGCTGGGCTCATTCCACCCCCAGCCAAGCCCAGCTCAGAGGTGGCTCCATCTTTTTAGGAAGGAGGTGGAACAGGATTATTCTGCACCTTCTTCTGCTCAGGATTCAGGAGAGAGCCTCTGGGGTGCTCAGCATGGATTTGGCAAAGTCACTCAGCTCCAGAGGAGGCAAAACTCCATCAAAAGTGCAGCACGTGGCTGGAATTCCTAAAGATGGAGATCAGCAAACACAAACTGAGCCTCTGCATGCTCAGGACTGGGTTTTTTTGGGGGGAATTACAGAATTTGCAGGAATTACAGTACCAGCAGTGTTGATACCTCACTTCCAAAGAACTGACCCACCTGGGCTCTGTAGGAACTATTGGGTGCTCCCATTTTTAATCTGGATTTTTAGCTCCAAATAGAGGCGAGCTTTAATCAGCTTCTTAATTGAGGTTCTGCATTTCTACATTGCAGAGACAAATTAAGGCAGCTCCTGTGGTACCAGCAAACAGCTGCTAAAGCAAGGCAAACCTAATGATAAACAAAATTAGGTTCTTTTCTAGTTGGGTTTCATCCATCTGCCCCCAACCAGTGCTCACTTTGAGAGGAGGCACTGATTCAAGCTGTTGCCTTTAATCCATTTTGACAGAAGAAGGCAGTGATTAGGCAGAGCCAGGCTCTAATCTTCCCATGTTTGAGCCAGGCTGTAACGTGCACGTTCTGCTCCCCCACTGGCATCCCTGGAACTGCAAAGATGTTGAATTTCCTGCACTAAAGCCAGGCTGGATGTTGAGTTTATTCCCAGTTGATTTTATTTTTCAGCAGTGCAGCAACTCCCTGTGGCATCAGGGGCAGTCAGCATCAGAATATTTTCACTAGTACTCTGGTTTTGGAATGGACATCGATGGGTTATTTATGGAATTCCACCTTTTTTCAGGCTGATTCTCCAGTTTGTCAGGCTGATTCTGACAATATTTTCACTGGTACTCTGGTTTTGGAATGGACATCGATGGGTTATTTATGGAATTCCACCTTTTTTCAGGCTGATTCTCCAGTTTGTCAAAATCCCTGTGAGTTCTGTTCACGTCCATCAGTGCACTTGCAGTGGATGTTGAGTTTATTCCCAGTTGATTTTATTTTCCAGCAGTGCTACAACTCCCTGTGGCATCAGGGGCAGTCAGCATCAGAATATTTGCACTGATGCTCTGGTTTTGGAATGGGTATTTATGGTTTATTCATGGAATTCCATCTTTTTTTCAGGCTGACTTTGCAATTTGGTGAAATCCCTGTGAGTTCAGGATTAATCCCTGTCCAAATGCAGTAATTCCACTTATCCATCCCTGTGGAATTCCATCCTTTTTTCAGGCTGATTGTCCAGTTTGTCAAAATCCCTCTGAGTTCTTTTCCTGCCCATCAGTGCACTTGGTGTCTGATCCAGATTGGTGTCACCTGCAGGTTTAATAATGTGGATTTTTAGCTTTTGTATAAAGTCATCTGTGTAAATACCATCTACTACCTGTATGGAGAGGACGTATTTTGTATTTTTTTTTAATATATGGATTTTTATCTGTGCTGCTGACTCACAAACCACTGCACTTGACACAGATATTTGTAATATTTCCTACCAAAAGCCACCGTGCCAATGCTCCCTGGGTATTTGGGGCTGTCCTGTGCAGGGCCAGGAGCTGGGTTTGGCTGTGACTCCCTTCCAGTGGAGGATATTCTCTATAAATGGTGCCTTTATCATCCAGGATAATGTGGATAATGCAGTTTTTCCCCCCAAACAGACGTGAAGCCCTCCAACATGCTGGTGAACACCCGGGGCCAGGTGAAGCTCTGTGACTTTGGGGTCAGCACCCAGGTAAATTCCCTTTTTTTTGCATCTCTCCCCATTCCCCTCGTGCTGTCCAAATCACCTGGCATCCCCACAGCAAGCCCCTCTCTGCTGGGACAGCCCTTCTCATTTTTAATCTCTGGGCGACTTTTCCTCCATCTGAATATGATTGCTCATTGTTTAATGACAGTAAAAACTGCTGATATTGTAATTACTACTTACCAATAGCAAACTTCATTGAAATGCAGCTTTGATCTGGGAGCCTTTTGCCCAGACAAAAGGGAGGGCAGAGCAAGAGACGTGTCTGGGGAGCCCAACTGGCCCACAATAAAAATTAATATTGGGAGCAACAATGGTGGTGGGCTTTGACAATGTGCAGCACAAATTTTAATTAATTTCCATTTTGGGCCTCCCTGGAGGACTTCTCTGCTAGTGACCCATGAGCTCGCTGCGCTGTTGATTTGAATTTCAGCACCTTTTCCTCCCAGCCAAACACGAGGCCCAAAGAGAAGGTCAGCCTTGTATTATGGGCTGGCAGGCTCTGTTGTCCCTCCAGTGTTTGAGGGATGAATTGGGGCTTTATTCACATCTGCCTGAAAAACGAGTGTGCTCAATCCTGCTTCCTCCTAATTCACTTTTTACACCAGCCTGGCCTGGGGTACTAAAACAAGCAGCATCCTGCTTAGCACAATTGTTTAAGGTTATCTGCCATAAAGTGTAATGCAAGTGCTTGCTTAAATTGGAATCCTCGTTCCCCCAGCCCAGGCGAGATTTAATCATTTTTAACGCCTTGGCGGATAAATCCCTTCCCTTTTTTTACATCATTTTTAGTTGATTTATTGGGATGATGATTGTAGGTTAAATGAGGAATAATTGCCCATTTTATTTCCACATTATCTTTATATTGTTCTAACAGACTGTTTTGTCTGATAGCTGGTGAATTCCATAGCCAAGACGTATGTTGGAACAAATGCTTATATGGCGGTAAGTGGATTTATGAAGGAATAACATTGAAATGGAATTATTTGTCCTCACTCTTGTTCTGTTCAAGGCGGGAGATATCCTAAATCAATCCTCAAATCTCCAGCTCTTCCCATCCCCTCTCTTCATTCCGTGGGACAACTCTGCTTCTTCTTGCTGGCAGGGAGGAGAAATATTGGAAAAGCGGTTTTTTAAAATATATTTTCTGTTGTTTTTGCTCCTTGTGGCAACTGGGAACAAAGAGAGCCAGTTGGGCATTCAAAAAAAAAAAACAAGATTTTCACTCAGGGCACGTGGCTCTCTGCAGATCACTGCCAGCCCCAAACCATCCCCGTTTTGGGAATGCTGGAGTTGAGGGAAGCACCGTGCAGAGGTTGGTGGGCATTCCTAAACACCCCATGGAAATCTGAACCTAAAAACACTGGGATTAATAACATCAGGGTATGAAAGTGCAGGTTTTTTACCTCAGAATGCAAGAAGTCATCAGTACTTCCACTTTTCTGCACAAATTTTGGTCGGTCTTTGCTAACACAAGACCACTTTTGTCCTGTTCCTGTGCGTTGAAGTCCCTAAATTCCCTTTTTTTTTTTTAAATAATTTTTTTTTAGCACATTGCTAAGGATGCATTGTTTGGGTCGGGGTTTGGGTTCAGAGCTGCCAAGTGCCAGCCTGAGCAAATCAGAGTGGATTTTCCATCAGATCCTTTTCAATTCCCCATTTCAGAGGGGAAAACTCCTCCGCCTCAGCTTTTAAAGCACTTCCTGAACTCTTCATTTTGGCCATTAAAATCCTTTGAGCAAACTGCTCCTAACATTGCCGGGGAAAAAGAAGTGCTTTGCTGGTTTAAAATAAAAATATAAACAGCACAAAGTGGTTGGCTGCTCGTGTTTTTCACACCTCGGGGAAGGGGAGGGAGAAATCCGTGACCTTTAATCGCTTTCAGGTATTTTTTTCTCTGATTTTCTTGTCAGGGTTCCCATTTATTTGCTAAGTGCTTTTCCACTCGAGGTGTGCTCATTGTGTGGCTTCTGAAAGGCTGGAGTCACCATCCTAGAAAGACTTGGGCTGTCCTGGGTCATCAGAATACTCAGAAAGAGCATAAAATAAATACATCAGAATGGCAGAAAAACGGGGGGTTTTAAATAAAAAACAGAGATTAAAAAAAGAGCTGGAACACAGAGATCCAGACAAAGAAACAGCTTCAAATTAATCAACTTTTCCAGCTCAGCTGTTGCTTCAAACTGGTCTTAAGCAGGGCTGAGAATTAAATTGTATTATGCTTTTAATGCCCAAACCAAGATTACAGTTCTCTTTCCCAGGTGGGCATTAAATAAATTGCTTTTTTTTTTTTTGCCTTTCTGGATGGATGTGATGCCTCCATCTCTTAATTGTGAGGCAGAAGTTTAAGCTCAAAATGTTCTCGATCTGATTTTCGGTGTGAAAATCACTTTGCTTCTTGATTGAGTCGTTTGTTGTCATCAAATTTCCGGGCAAGCCCTCAAAAAAAAAATAATGAAGGTCATAAGCTTTGCTTCACCCACTTGGCAGGCTGGCAGTGAATGTGAAACTCTTGAAAAAAATCGAGGTTTTCTTTGAAAAAAATAAAAAACTTTTTGATTTTCGTGTTTTTGGTTTGTTTTTTTAGTTGTTTTTTTTTTTTTTGGAAACAAAAAAAGCTTTTTGATTGAGAAATTAAAATTTCCAACCAAAACTTATTTTCTGTAAAATCATTTCATTATAGAAAAAAAATTTGGATAGAAAAATAATCAGTTGTAGAATTTTTTAAGGAGAAAATACCTTGGGCTGTGTATTTAGAGACCCTTGATGCATCTGTTATTCCTATTTTCCTCTTCTTTTCTGTACTTTTAAATCCATCTTTTGTTTAAAAAGCTGATTTTTTTATTTTTTGCCCTTATCTTTTGTGAACCCACTTTTCCTCACTGGAAGTTGCTGTTTAAAGCTTGAACTTTAAGAATAAACAATTTAATATTGCTGAAAGTGAATTACAAATCTCATTTGGTGGCTTGGGAAGAGCCTAAAAAATGGGGTGGATGTCAGCTTGGGCCAGGTTAGCACATCCCATATCATGTCATAAAATTAATTTTGGCTGCACATCTGCACCTTTGTGAGGACATTTGTCAGTATAAAAATACGTCACTGTAAAAATATGTCAGTATAAAAATTTTATCAGCTTAAAAAAAAAAACCTCACACTATGCTGCTGCAAACATTTCTAAGGCGTGCTGACTTAGGTTGATTATACTCAATGAATTAAAAAACAGTAAGATTTATAATAATTAAAAATATTTTATAATAATTTTTAAAAAAAAATAAGATTTTTTGGATCGCTCCCAAGTAAGATCTGGTCAATTTGGTGGAATTGCGGGGGTATTTTGGGGCTGTTTTTACAGGGAATATTTCAGAGGGCGGCAGCGTGGTTTTTATTTAACATTCACGCCGCGCTAAAAGCTCCTGACCTGGGAGTAGCAGCACAGGGTGAACATCCAAAACCACATTGGAGTGGCACTAATTTGGGAGTTTGTTTTCTGACGAAGCTCTCTGGATTATTAAAGAGTGAAAATCCTTTGTAGGTGGCTGGGCCAGACAGGTGCATTAACAGCACAGTGGGAAGAGGAGTCTCAGGGAGCCTTTTATTGTTGCTTTTCATGCTGTACTTGACCTTGGAAATGCTTAAATTGTAGCTCTCAAGTAAAAACCAGCAGATATTTTTTACAGCACTCCATTTCATGAAGCATTAAACCTGCTATTAATAGTTTGGAGCAGGACCTGCTTTTTTTTTGTCTTTTTTTTTTTTTCCCTCCAGGTCAAAAAGCCCAAAATTAAGGACTGTACAAAATAAAATTGCCACCCTGTGGTGATTCTTTTGGCTTTTTTAACTGTGGTTGTGCCCCAGCCTCTGGGCTCCACACAGGGAATATTTTTCCTTGCCGTGGTGCCTGGATTTGGGGAGGGAGGTGGAAAATTGGATTTTCTCAACTTGACCTTGTGCTTTGCTCACGTGCGTGAGCCCTTGGGTTCAACAACCCAAACACAAATCCAAGGCCAGCCTTGCAAGGTGCACGGACACAGATTTTCCTGAAGAATTCCTGAATTTTCCTGGATTTGCTCCCTGCCAGGGCAGCTTTGAAGCATCTTGGTGGTTTTTGGTGTCTCCCCTCCCACAGGGCAGCTCCGAGCTCTGCTCCAGGGTCAGTGGTGGAGCCCAGGGAAGGGCAGGAGCAGGGCCAGGGCAGATTTTGTTGGATTTTAGGACAAAATTTCTTCCCCCAGAAGGTGTTGGGGCACAGCCCAGGCTCCCCAGGGAGTGGGGGAGCTTCAGGAATGTGTGGGATGCTCCCAGGGTGGGATTTTGGGATGCCTGGGCAGGGCCAGGA